GGGGGGGGGGGGGGGAGCAGATTCCCAGGCAAAGAACCCTGTGTGAGGGAGGTTGCCCCAGGCCTGGGGGCAGAGTGTGGAGGAAAGGTGCACCCCCGGCCCGGCACTAATAAAGGCCTCCCTGGGGAAGAAGGGCAGAGGCGGACCAGTGGGCCCAGGAAAGACCCACCTGGCCAAGCCTGCGGCTCTGCCCACACTGGGACCCCCTGGGGGGGGGCTGGTGCTGGCTGGCGGGGAGCAGTGGGGCTCCAGAGGGAGGGAGGCGCTTGCCAAGGAGCCGAGGCCCGCTGGCGGTCAGTGGCTGAGTGGCGCTGTGCGGGGGTTCCGGAGCCTTGCTGGGCTGCAGCAGCACCTCGCTGCCCCTTGCTTAAAGGCTTGTCCTTGGACCAAAGCCGGCCCAGGGCAAGCTTGCACGTGGACCTGGCCCCTAGGCTGCTCTCCTCTCCTGTGGACAGTGGGCTCATGCTGCCCCAGGCTTGGAGCGACCCAGAGCAACCGGCCAGCCCCTCCGGGCGTGACTGAGCCGCTTGGGGGAGAGCCCTCCCCGCCTCGGGGCCCCTTGCCATTCCTCTAACGCCAGAGCTGGGCGCCTGGGCCTGGTGCGGGAACAACGCCCACGAGAGAACGCGCGGACCGGGGCCTCCGCGAGGAGGGGCGGGGCCTCCGCGAGGAGGGGCGGGGCCTCCGCGAGGAGGGGCGGGGCCTCCCGCCCCAGCAGGGCAGCCGCGGCCCGCCTTGACCCAGGGCCTCCGAAGCGGCAGTGGCCTCAGCCAGGCTCTACCTGCCCCAGGTCCGGAGCCGGCCAGCCGAGCCCCAGCATCAGGGCAGGTTGGCGCCCCAGACATCCGCCAAGTCCGGCACCCTAACCTGAGGTGCTGGGGAAGACCTGGGGTCTCCCCTATTACCCAGCTGAAGTCTGGGCCCCGAGGGCCACCCGGCAGTTACTGTCAGCCAAAATCCCACCAACCCCCACCCACCTGCCCGAGTCACAAAGGAATACTTGCCGGTGCGGGCGCTGCTGCACAAAGTCCTGCAGCTCAGGAGGTCTGCGTCACCACCTCAGGGAGGGGCCCGGGGCCCCCAGCTGGAGGTCGAGCTCCTTGCTCAGTGGCCTGGGCCCCATGAGCGAGGAGCCACTGCCGCCTGCACAGATGGGGTGGCCATAGCCCTGGCCAGCCGGCTGGCGGGAGCTTAGCCCTGGCACAGGGAGGGGGCCAGGACCAGGTGGACCCTGTCTCCCCAGGAACTCTGTGATGGGCCCACGGTGGTGGTGGTGTCCCGTGGGACGCTCCGGCCGTGGCCCCTGCAGGGTCGGCTCAGGAGGCAGCCACAGCTGGCAACTGGGGGGG